TAATTTTGCTGCAGTTGGACTATACGAATTGAAGTATATACTGCAGCTGATGTTGAGTAAGACTTGATGGAGGAGGATATATGTAATATTCTTGTGGTTGTCACGTTCACGTTTATAACTTTCTTTCTATTCGTGAAAAAAGTTCTGTCTTGGGCATTTTCTGTTCCTTTTAGAGAAGTCGTAATTTTGAGTTTTTCGTTTATTAATCTTATGTTATGTGTTGTGATAGATGTGTGTATTTGTTTATGCTTTTGGATTATCTTCCCGAGTAGAACGAATCAACATTGTTGATGGGGTTACTAATGCAGGATTGCAGGCCAGTATGTTAAAAAAATTTTAGACATACTGTGGACAATTACGAAAACAACCTCACAGGTTTAAGTTATTTAAAAAAAAAATTATCCAGAGCCTTAGGGGTATGTTGTGTACAAAATAGAGTAAAGATCAGGTTTATGTTGAAATTTGAAAACAGAATAAGATTCCTTTTAAGGTTTATGTTCATTTGGGTGTGTTGAAAGATCAGGTTTTTCCATCTAAAGAAATTTGCATCATCCACCTACAGCTTTCCACGTGGCAGGGAAAAATCTACTTCTCAGATAGAAGTATGAGCCGCCCATTATTGGGGTGACTTGGCCAATTACTGATCACTGCCTTCTTGCTACAATTACTTTTATACCCTCCCTTTTATCAATCATCTGGTGCAAGAATCACCAGTGTTTTACAAAGAACATGCAGCTCTCTCCCCTGTTCTCTTCTACCTTTTCTTCTTGAGCGATAAGATATCCTCTTTCATTGTTAATAAGACCTCAACTGAAAATATCTCTTCAGACAAACTTAACAATCGAAACTTCAATTCCTACATTCGTTGTCCTAACAGAGATATCACTAAAAGAGATATCCATGAGGAAAAATAACATTCCCATGGAGAACACCCCTGCTTACAGTTTTACCTGTTAAAAAAAAATATATATATATATAAACAAGAAAAAAGAGATTAATATGTTTTCTTCTTCTTCTTCTTCTTCTTCTTACTCATGCTCCAAGTTCACTCTGTTTTCTCCTTCTCAGCACCCCAATTCCTCTAAACTCCATTTTTTTACACCCCTGAAAACACCTCATTCAACCACCTCAAACAACCATACTCTAATTCCTGTACATTCCCATGATTCATCATCATCTCCAGTTCTTCAAGAAAAGCATCAAAATTCTTCATCACAGGCCAACAGCACCGAAATCGACAGCCGCGAATGTCTCGATGAAGAGATCGCAAACGCCAAGAAGTCCTTAGAGGAGTTGCTTGTTGTTCGTCGGCCGGTAATGAAGTTCGGAGAAGAAAATGCAGTCGACGAAAATGAAGTGTCTGATAAGGTGAAAGGGATTATGCCTTCTTCGGGTTTAGATGAACGGCTGTCGAGACTCACGAAGAAGATGCCGATTTTCGAGCCTAAGGTAGTCGAGTCGGGTTCCGGTGAGAAGCCCCTTTCAGTGAATTTGGATTTGGCTCTGTATAAAGCAAAGATTTTGGCGAGGAATTATCGGTATGAAGAGGCAGAGGAGATACTGAGGAAGGTATGCATTATTTTGTGTCTTCTTTTTTTTTCTTTTTTTTCTTTTTTGGATATTTTAAGATGCTTCATGAATTTTTTTTGTTAGTTTAATTGCATCTGTATTTTGAGATGTTTGGATAGTCATTATCAGACACCTGCTAATACAATTCTGAAATGAATATGGGTAATTGCAGAAGTAAATGACACTNTTATTGGCTTTTTTAAGGTTTCAAGAAGCTGGTTTTTTTCAGCAATTGTCAATTAGGATTATATATTCATAAGCAACTGTCTATTAATGTGTGATATGGTTGTGTGCTTTGAAGTGTATAAACTATTGGCCAGAAGATGGGAGACCCTACGTTGCCTTAGGGAGGACTTTGAGCAAACAGTCGAAAACGAATGAAGCCAGAGATGTGTATGACAAGGGATGCCAAGCTACGCAAGGCGAGAATCCTTACATTTGGCAGGTTACTGATGGATTTACTTCTGCATATGATATTTGTCTTTCTAATGAAGACTATCAATGAAAAACTCTTTGAAAGAAGAAGTTTGAGCTTCGAGAATGTAGTTCGATGCTAGATGAAAAAAAGTGACGATGAAAGCTGATTTCTTTTGAAAACATCGAAATAATAACTAAATGCGACTTTGAAGAAACTCCAAAATGATAATGGTAAATAAACTGTTTTTTCAGGACTTATGAGTACAATAAAAATTGACAGGAGAAAAAAAAGGGATGTGAGTGAACGAACCATTGCTGCTGCTTCTTCTCCTAATATCTTTTGTGAATTTCAAAAATTATTCTTGAATTGTGTGGTGTTTTTCGTACCAGTGCTGGGCAGTTCTTGAAAATAAGATGGGCAATAGCAGGAAAGCAAAAGAATTATTCGATGCAGCCACAGTTGCCGACAAGAAGCACATTGCAGCCTGGCATGGATGGGCAGTTTTGGAAATGAAACAAGGGAATATCAGAAAGGCAAGGAATCTTCTCGGCAAAGGTCTCAAGTTTTGTGGCGGGAATGAATACATATACCAAACACTCGCGCTGCTTGAAGTCAAAGCCAAACGGTTTAAAGAAGCTCGCTATTTATTCAAGCAAGCCACCAAATGCAACGCGAAAAGCTGCGCCAGCTGGCTCGTAAGTTTCTGAAAAGATATCTTGCGATGATTGTTTGTAGTAATGCTTCTTGAAAAAAAAAATCAACCAAAAATCCAAAAATCTGGATAATCACTTTTCTCAAGATTTCTCGAACAAAATGGTTAATATCCGTACTCTTGTGTTGAAAGGCGTGGGCCCAGCTTGAAGTGCGACTAGAGAATAACCGTGCTGCTAGGATGCTTTTCGAGGTTCGGTCCTTTCACTCATAAGTTAATCATTTTCATTTCTGTCAGAAAAATAAGAAAAAGTAAAAAATAAAAAAACAATTTTATCATTGTTGAGGCAGAGAGCTGTCGAGGCTAGTCCCAAGAACCGGTTCGCGTGGCATGTGTGGGGAGTCTTTGAATCTAATCTTGGAAATGTTGATTTAGCAAGGAAGCTTCTGAAGGTGGGCCATGCTGTGAACCCGAGAGATCCCGTACTTTTGCAGTCACTTGCATTACTCGAGTACAAGTACACGTCAGCAAATATTGCAAGAGTGCTCTTCAGAAGGGCATCCGAGCTGGATCCGAGGCATCAGCCAGTTTGGACCGTGAGTATTTGTTTTGAGTTATATATGTGTTATAACATCTATTGAAAATAGCTAGAATCCAGATGTTAGTAAAATAAATCTCAACCGTTCTTGAAAAACTCGATCATGGAGATACTGTGATTCTTTCCTTTTTTTCTGAGTCTTCCATGCTCACAACATATAAGAAAACAGTACAGAAAATAACTCCAAGCTTAAGTCTGGTTGACAGAAAATAAATAATCAAAGAAAGAAAACAAAAGGATAACAGCTATTTCTAATTATTGTTATTGTTATTATTTTATGTTTTGATATTTGCTCCTATTTTACAATTTACCTCAAAAGCTGCTTGTTTAATTTACCCTATAAAAATTTGAAATGAAGGAAATTTACTATTTGGGGTGTTTTAGGCTTGGGGTTGGATGGAATGGAAAGAAGGAAACTTAGGCACAGCTAGGGAGCTATACCAAAATGCACTCTCAATAAATGTAACGAGCGAAAGCGCTGCTCGTTGTCTTCAGGTAATGAAAATATCAATGTTCAAATGCTAGCTGCTTGTTCTACTTTATTTGATCAGTCATTTTTCTCTACAGTTCTAATTTTAGTAGAATTTCACTAGTTGCTCTCTGTTTGTGAGCATATTGCAGGCCTGGGGAGTTTTAGAACAAAGGGCAGGCAATCCATCAGCAGCTCGAAGATTATTCAGATCTTCACTTAACATAAATTCACAAAGCTATGTGACGTGGATGACTTGGGCATCTCTCGAAGAAGATCAAGGAGATTCTGTTCGTGCTGAGGAAATTCGAGACCTCTACTTCCAGCAGGTACATTGCATGTTGGATATATTTAGTTTAAATATGGGAAAATCCAGTTATGTTTTACTTTCCAAATAAGGAAAGCTGAAAAACATAAAAGCAATTATGTATTGCAATTAGCCTTTGAAACGTTGAGTTCATCTTGAACCTTGAAATGAATTCGTAAATCTTTTTATCACTTGGCTACATCACAAAGATAGTTTGTGTAAACATTTCACTTCCCCAAAACAACGGCTCATTTATGTTTCACGAATAAGTTCGTGTGAAAAGAATTATTATTATTATTATTATTATTTTATTTTATTTATTTATTTATTTCTATTTTTATTTTTTTTTTATCAAAATTTGGTTTTTCTTGCAACAGCGTACGGAGATTGTTGATGATGCATCATGGGTCATGGGATTCATGGACATCATCGACCCAGCCATCGACAGCATAAAGAGACTTTTGAACATGGAGAAATCCAAGGATTCTACAGGCAAAGATAAATACGAGCAATCAAAAGAAATTTCTACAGGCTATCTCAATACCATTGCAAGTAGAAGTGGTTTCAATTTAGACGAGTTTATTAGAGAAAAACTATTGCTAGACCCTTCGAAACTCGAAGTCCAATTGGAGTCTCCAACGAGCTCTTCAAAATCAGCAAAAAGTACATGGAGACCAGTGAAGAAGAAAAATACGACAACTTCCTAATTTTTTTTATAGCAACTATCCACATTTTTGTAAAGGACAGACTGAATTGTGTAAGTTTGTCATATACTTGTGTCAGAATTTCTAACTTCCTCATTTGTAGGGNAGTTAAGTGCTATTTATATGATATTGAAGTAGTCAAGTTGAACGCCTCTCCAATGTCACTGATCCCTTTCCACGGCCAACAAGTGGGCCGGAGGATTTTAGTTATGTGTCAGCCCTGTTTAGCTACTCGTACAGAATTCAATCTGGCACATATCTAATTCTTTATAATTTTTTAGAACACAATTTCATCTTTTAAATGATTAAAACGTGTTGGCAAGACGTTTCTCTCTCGTGCCAAAACAGGCTTACCAAAAAGAGAATAAGAAAAATAATCCCGCCATAATGACTTGACTAGGGATGTAAAGTGTAGTAAACTCCTTTCCCTCTCTAGATCCGGACTCTCCCATTTGATGTTTGGCGGTTTCATGACATATTAAGAGGACACTAATGAAAATAGAAGAACCAAATCTATCACGTGCGAAAATGGAAGTGAACCAGTAGAAGATTTAATGCATTCATTATCCGAGTAGGAACTGAATTACGAATCAGATTCTCGGAAGTCGAGTTTTTCATTTCCTGATACCCCATAGTAACCAACAGACATTTTCTACCCAAGTAATTGTTAGATTAAGAATCAATTCCTGGTACATAGAGGAGTGGTCGTTCCAATTCATTACAGTTCCACATTAGCCAGAATATATTCATTCAGGACCCAAAAGTCCAATATGTCATACCAAAAGACTAAGCTTACCTTAGAGATCTACAGATTATGTGCAGCCGAGTGGCAGTTGTTTTAGTCCTTTCGCTTACTGGACTTGGAAGCATTTGGTTCGGAAAGCATCTTCAAAACATCCACCAATGCCCGCACACGGTCCCCCACGTTTAGCCCGTACAATGCCTCCACAAGTGATTTTTGGAATTCAAAGCCGTTTTCCGAGATGGGGTACTGAGAGGAACAAAGAGAGACACGTTAACATGAGAACAAACATACCATCAACTTTATTATTAATAAGATAAACGAAAAAAAAGGAAAGTAGCTTCAGAAAATTAACCTGAATAGGCTTAGGGATCTTAGTCTTGACAAGTGGCCACCAACGGTCCTCCACCACGGATTTTACAAGACAGCAAGCTCGCAAACCCTCAATGCCAGCAAACCTTCCAAATCCACTGTCTTTTACACCACCAAAGGGAAGAGACTGCAACAACACATGAAGAGATTATGTTCAGTCGAGCACATGGTGCAACTAAAACCAGTTTTCTTTTAGCCTATTAACAGTTGATTGGTGAGAATGACAGTGATCATGGAAAGAGCTGTGATTATCAGTTACAGAATGGAAGGGGAAAAATAAATTGGAAAAAAAAAAAAGCTATTTATTAGTATTTTTGGATTTTTTTTTTGGTTATAGAGTTATTTCAAGCGCTTGGATTCTGCATAATTTAAATAAAATCCAAAGGTATAGGGATGGGGGAGGGGTGTTCTAATTGCAAATTCTACTTCTAGTTTGAATCATTCAGACAAAAACAAAAGCTTCAACAACGTATTCACCAAATTTTCTCATTTAATTAACTCAATCTACAGCTTCTCTTTGCAAACAATACAAACTCCAATTCACAAGTATTAGAATAAACTATCATTCCAAAAGCAAAAGTATTTGCGACAACTCCTGAATCCTCATCTCTGTGGATCCATCATTATATCATAATGTAATCACTAAGTGTTGAATTACCTGACACATGTAGCTTGCTGCAAAATCATTAACAGCAGCAATGCCACAGTGTAACTGAGAAGCTATTTCTCTGGCCCGCTTCTGGCTGCCTGAAAACACAGCACACCCAAGCCCATACTTCGAGTCGTTTGCCAGTTTGACGGCCTCTTCATCAGTACTGAATTTCATGATCGGCATAATTGGTCCAAAAGCCTGCACGTGAATAAGATTGCTTATCTATTAATTGATTTCTATTCAACAAGTTGAAGCAGTTATTAGCAAGGGAAATATAATATAAATGTAACATACCTCGTCTTGCATCAATTTCATGCTGTGGTTGACATTTACAATTACAGTGGGAGGGAAGTACTGATCGACTGCTCCTTCACCAATATTCCCAACACTTCCTCGGCCAACAATTTCAGCTCCTTTGTTGAGTGCATCGTTTACCAGACTCTGGAGCTTCTCAGAATGCTCTTGCATGCATATTGCTCCCATGTCGTATTTCCCAATGAGTGGAGGACCCTGCAACCATGCTTGACAGACTGTTTACTTATGCTTATTAACTTGAAAAAATAAATGGCACATCTTAATTATCAATCTAATCAAGTTCATTTCTTATTCTATATGGCTCGTATCTATTTCCGGAGATGCTTGCTAAGTGAATAGAAGAAGATGCAATCTTAAAACTCAATGACTTATTTCACAACAAGAACTCTTTGAGCAGTTTCACGCTATTGGTTTAAATTGAAAGTGTAAGTAAAACATTTGAGGCTTCTGCAGGGTTCTAATTCCGACGTCAACTCTCAGGAATGAAAATCAAGTATATGCACACAAACAAGTACAGAGGCACTATCTCTTCAAGGAATTTCATGTAGTTAAGACTTGCATATATAATCAGATATGGAACGTACAGCAGTAACAGATTTTACAATTCTGACAACTTCAGCAATAAACGAGGTATAGATGTCCTTGTGAACATAGAACCTCTCAGCACCAGCACAATTTTGCCCACTTGATTGCAGAGCACCCCTTACAGCAATTTGTGCAACCTGCAAAAATTGTAATCATTAGTCTACTGCAATCTTCACGGGGATGCTTAGGTTAATCAAATTAATTTAGGTAATAAGTAATATGATATGAATTAATGAGAACTAATTTTCTGTACATGCGGCACATCAACATCTTCACAGACAATAAAGGCATCTTTCCCACCGAGCTCAAGAGTAACCGGTATCAATGTATCCGCAGCTTTCCTCATTATCTGTAATATTTTCATGCATGACAAGTGCGTCAAGAAGTTAATATCAGTTTTATGCATGAGTATTAGCTAACAGAACAGAACTTTTGTCAATGCTCTACTTCGATTGAATCTTTTTTTCGCTCAAGAGAAAAACCTAACCATTTTCCCGACACCAGGTGACCCAACAAAAATCATCTTGTCAACTGAAGACACCAAGGCTTCTCCTGTCTCAGCAAACCTGGGAGGAAATCAAAACAACTCATTTAGAATTAAAAACGATGCAGATTGTGCAGAAACAACTGCAAGAACGGCATACCCTGTTATGACCTCAACCAGATTTTCTGGTGCTCCAACAGCAGCAAGGGCGGCTTGTATTATACGCAAATAGAAACATCCTGACCAACTCGCATGTTCTGAAACCTACAGCAAAAGAAAACCTGATCCTCATAAAAAAGATATTGAAATTTTTCATGCCATCAATGTTGCAATTATTTCTAATTTCCACATAAGAATAAACTATAAGTGACATTAACACAATGCTGTCGGAAGAAAATGTAAATTTTCATGCAGCTATTAAGAATGTGTTTAATAAACTATTGAAATCAAGAAAGTTGAAGACTAAATGTATTTCCAGGTACATTCCACTATGATATTCAAACAAATTAATGAAGATTGCGAATAAAAAGTACAAGGGAACTCATTAAATATTAGGTTTAGGCAATTTGATACAAGCTTTTTTCATTTTTGTCTGTCCATTCATGATTTGATCTCATTGGAAATTGAAATGAAACAAAAGAATCATAAAAGTTATTATTCTTTTCATCTCACTTTTTTCTCACAATTACAGAATAAAAAGAAATCATTATTATATAAGCTCCCACAAAAAATACTATTAACCCATTCACATATTTCGAACTATCAATCAATATTTCATTAATTTTATAGCACATCAACTTTAATTATAACATCCTTATCTTATATCTATTCACAATCTCAAATCTTTCTCATCCACTTTCATCTCTATTCGTAAACGAGAGTTTTCGATCTTTTTTATATTCAATGACACTATCTTAACTTTCATTGGACTAAGCAGAAATATGCAGTCAACCATCAGAGAGTAACTCTATCGCTATTCGGTCTGGTGAATCATTGTATATAAGGAATGGTACACTAGAGCCTGTAAGCAAACATAGTGGATTCCTACATGATATCCGTGTGGTGCTTCAAAAGAGATTTTCCATACTTTAAATTGGGCATATAAATAACAGCAATGTGGCATCAAGAATATGGCACCTTAATCACAATACTGTTCCCTGAGAATACTGCAGCCAACATTGGGTTAAATATGTTGTGAAATGGATAGTTCCACGAAACAATGGCTCCAATTACACCAAGCGGATGAAATTCCACTCTGGCTGTCTTGTGAAGCATTGATCTTCCACATGATCTACATTATAAGGAAACAATGATCAGTGCAATATGGTCCACTACAAAACCGGTAAACTCATGCAGAATATTCTTTGGTTAAAGCATTTTATCATCATATGGCAAACATATGAGAGCTTGATTATAATAACGTATGAGGACGACTCATGATCTATACTAGCAAGCATGCAGCTTACCAATAACTCATGCAAAAGGAAGTTTGTAGTCATCATTAAGTGAAATAATGAAAAATGCAAGTCCCCAGGACCTAATTTTATACTGGCTGTAGTGTGAGTGAAGGCAATGATATTGTATTTACGAACTGAAGCATCAGAACATTGATTTTAGCAGGAAACAAACATCAAAGGATCCTATCAACTTTTAATGTTAAATCAAGAAAAGGAGATTGTATAATGGAGTGACAGAACTTCATTCACATTCATGCCCTGTAAAACGATTCAAGAAATACGGGACACTACCAAGAATATATTCACCTGTGTTCGGGTTTCAGCCACTTTTCACCCTCAGAAAGAAGCCAGGTGATTTTCTCACAGGTTGTCATAATTTCTCCCAAAGACGCATCAACCATGGTCTTTCCAGTGTCACGCGATGAAACCCTAAGTGAAGTGCATAAATTGCATTCCATTAAGCATAGGAGTGAAGAGAAAAGAAGTAGCATATGTTGTGCAATCTGAAGTTAGAACCAGCACGAAGAACCAAGCCAAAATAGAAAGAGAAAAGCAAAGCACAACTAATGAGAGGTATCTTGGTCTTCTTACTCGCATATAAGCTCCTGGTGTTCAATGATGTACTTTAGAAGTATCCTCAGGAACTGGCGCCTTTGTTTGAAGCTACTTTTTGCCCACACCTTTTGAGCCTTCCTCGCCAGTGAAACACGCTCCTTAACCTGTGCATAGTTGTTAATGTGGACTTTGTCGGTTATACATGAAAAATATTCATTTTGCGGATAATGGCCTGTAAGATTGCATACATCTCTCCAACAATACATATGGATCCAGAAAGCAGTGCATTTTCACTCTTGATATAGAAAGTAACAACTGCATTCAGATATTGTATATAGATCCATTGAATAATTGGTGCAGCTTCAAGCTAGTCAACTTCATGTGTGAACTTAAGATCACTTGAACTGTGTGGTTTTCAATATGATAATGATACATTTAATTGGGTGCTTATTGCAATAAATTCATAACTGTTTTTCAAGCTAAGTTGATAACATCAATCGACATAGTATGGTACTAAAAGGCAAACCAAATTTGCCCAGCAGTTTCAGTTAACCATTTTGCCTTTTGGTAAAACCCAGTAATGCATTACACATGAAAAATCCAACAGTTCCAATTACACAATGAATATATAAGATTATATGTATGGAAGGTGACTCGATTAAAGACCAAATCTAGCAGTAAAACTAACCTCATCTGGTTTCAATGCAGGAAAAAAGCCCAGGTATTTCATTGTTGCAGGTTCATAGCATTGGACTTTATCTGTCTGTCTTCGCGAAGGTATCTGCGAGAATTCCCCAGTGACAATATGTTATACAAGATGTTTCAATACCATCACAACAGAAATCATTCATACTTAACAGCACAGGTAAACAGTATGCCTATAAAAATGATAAATACAGAATTCCATCTCCATCATGGTGTAGCAAAAAAATCCTTATGTAAATATGTTATATAGAATTTACATTTACTAGGTTTTCAAGTGAAATAAACTCAACAACAACTGAACTTTATTTTACTCATTATTATAACAATCAACAATAATAACTAAAAAGGAAACAGAGATTAAAAAAACTAGACAGGTTGATTGAGAAAATGATGAAATGAAAAGAAAAAAAGGAAATAAAAAAAAGAGGAAAAATTATAGTCAAATCAAATACATACACGAGAGAGAGAGAGAGAGAGAGAGGTCTTACATAGATGAAGCTGTTTTCCTTCGTTTGATTCCCATCATCCACGACTGCCACCAACAAAGTCATACATAACGAATTAGCTAGAAACAAGAGACTACTCATCTCTGTATTATTAACCATATTTCATCCATGTCAGAGAAAGAGAACTAAGAGGGCTAGGAAAACTGTACAGATGCTGACTTAAACAAAAGTAAAATCGACCACAACTTTTAACCGAATATACACGTTCATGTTTTTTTGTTTGTGTGTGTGTGTCTGTGGTGTGTGTGACCGAGGTTTAGAAAATACTCACTCTCGCCTATATAGTCTGATTATTCTTAGAAAATACTTCAACGGAGCTCAAATTTACGCTGAGCACAAGCAGAGCTTCAACAAATTTAACAAAAGTGCAACCGATACAAGCGAGCCACATATGTATACTCACAAACAAAAACAGACAGGATAGCAGTTTCGCATTCGCAAAATTTCAGGAACGAATGTGAAAAATCCATCACACGCAGATTGAACACATACCATCAGAGATGTCAACGTCAATCGAAGGTACATTGGAAGGAATGAGCATGAGGAGTAATTTGCAGATCGCGAAAGCGAAAGCGATAACAACCAGAGGCCACCAAAACGCCATCGTTCGTTTGCTCCGGTCTATTTCGAATCCAAACAAGCCTTGGATTAAACCCTAGAAAAAGGTGATAAGCGGATATTTACGAATTCCGATACGATTTGAAGCGCATTTAACGAGCATAAGCAGCCAAAATAATATACCTGGTACTAGCTAGAGGTTACAGCTCAGTGAAAGGGTGCTGTACTGCTGTGTGCACTCGTCTCTGTACTACTCTGTGAGATATAATAGCAAATAGCCAAATATACCCAGTTAACCACATGTACACAGTACAAAATGATAATAATAATTTTATAATTCAAGTTTACATTCTAAAAATAATTGTCGATGTAGTTTAAAAGTTTAGAATTAAAAATTTAACGGGCGAGCTATTTTTATATCCATAATATATTATTATTATTATTATTATTATTATTATTATTATTATTTATTTATTTATTTATTTGCTCTCCCTTCTAGTTATCACTGCATCACTTATATGTTTTAATATAAATAATTAAATATATAATTTCTTTAAATTTTTCTAATTCAGTATAAGACCTAATCAATATCAATTAGAAGTAGATATGCCACTCTTGAAAAAAAAATAAAGATTGTTAGTTATATAGTAGTTGTGTAATGTATTGTAGGTTAAATTAGATTAAGGCCCAACGTAAGTGGGGCTCATTTTTTGACTTTATATACGTTTACATATTTTTGTGATTAATACATCAGATATTTTTCTCACATTATCACATGGTATCAAATTAGGTTTAGAATCCAATATAGGCTTGGTATTTTGTAGCTCGTCTCCGACCTTCGTCAACTCACTTCCCACACCATCCTCTCCGACATCCTCTGGCGAGTCGGCGCTGAAAATTTCAGCCAATTTGCCGGCGTGTGCGGCCCACACGCGCCCCCTCTCTGCGACAGAATCAAACCCCAAAAAAGATCCGTCCCCAGCTGGGGGAAACCGAATACCCCTCAACCGGCTAACACCACTAGCCGAGACCGGCACAACCCTACCCTTCTAACACCACTAGTCGAGTTTAGCTGCGTCAGCTCCCCCGAACTCAAAAGCAAGAACCGGGGAGAGAAGAAGAAGTCGGCCCCTCCACTCAGGCCGCTCCGCCGCAAACGCCACAGGCCTGCGTGAACCTCGCCCCGCTCCCAATTCACACAATACCCCACGACGCTGCAGCTCCGGGAGGCCGACGACCAGAATCAGCAAGACCAACCTGGAGAAGCGAAGCCCGACCACCAACGCAAACGGAGAAGGAACGTTGCAGGGGATGTGCAACATCAGAGAGAGGGGCGATCACTGGCCGGAGACTCGATTCTGCCGAGGAAGGCGTACGGAGCTGAAGACGAAAGGCGAAACTGCGATATGGGATTATGGTTGCGGCGATTTACGGGGCAGAGCGTTTGGAAATTGGCTTTTTCAATAAAAGGTTTGTGCAAATACTATATTGTTGTATATTTGAAGATTAAAATGATTTTGAGTCCTAACAAAATATTTTGAGATTTCTCATAATCATATCTTCAATCATTTTGTTTCAAAATATAGCATGTGAGAGAAATATGATTTCAATGGGAATATACATCTTGTAACTTAATCATTGAGATTAGGAAAAAACGTCTGAAGAAATAAAAGAAGAAAGATATTATTATAACATTCATTGGTAAAAAAGAAATAATAACAATGTCTTTTACAAGATATTATGATAATTACAATGCCTAGTTGTCAACCGAGCCTGATATTTGTTAGTCAAAAGTATATAATTGTGCTAAATAGAATTACAGAGCTAGAGCGTGTGAGCCTGCCACTTAGGTTTATTAAATTCTGAAATTATATATAAAGAGGATAAAAATAAAGTAATTAAATTTTAAAAAAAATTGTGTTGTCAACGTGAGATAGAAATGCAGACAAAAAGATTTGGAAAGAATATATTTTATATATTGTGTTTCTAAATAAGGAAAAAATTTTAGACATTCATTTTACTTTATTATTATTATTATTTGTTTTTTGGTAGTTTTGGTGAAACTTTTATGTTTATTTTTGTTAACATAATATTAATAATTGATCTAAATCTATTTATTAAACTTTATAAAAATTTTCAATCAATTAATTCATTTCTACCTAATCTATTTTTATTGATTAAACTTTCTAAAAAATTCAATCAATTAATTTATTTCTGCATTATCTATTTTTATTTTTATTTTTAGTGATGTAATACCAATAGTTTGAGATTAGTAATTATTTCTAGTGGATAAATATTTTCAAAGTATAAATAAATTTATTAGTAAATATTGCATATATGTTGAATGTAAATTTATTATCCAATACTAATTTTAAAATAAAAAATTAGTCTCAAGTTATTCATACAATAAAGTATGTATATAATAAAATGTATTGAGTATAAATAATCATAAATAGTAATTAGAATGTTTATTCCTCAAGGGTTTAAAAATCTAATGCTAAAATAACATTAAAATATAAGTAAACAATTTTTCGAGGATCAAGCATATACGATTGTACAATGATAAACCAACGGTCATTTGTTGAACTGCCATGTAAACTATTAGATTATAAATGAAATTTCAATATATTTATAATATCTATTGTTGTAAATTATGATAAACCAACGAGTCATCCGTCGAACTGCCATGTAAATTATAAATTGAGAAAGAAAAATCAAAATATTTATATCATATATTGTTATAAATTATGATGACAACCAACGGATCATTTGTCGTACTATCCATGTAAATTGTTAACTTAAAAATTAAACATTTATAATTTATATTGTTATAAATTATAATGATAAACAAACAAGCCATCTGTCGAACAACGATGTAAATAGTTAACTTATAAAAAAATTAAAATTTCTATAAGTTGTTAAATATTATAATGATAAATAAATATGTGTCGAACTGTCATGTGAATTATTAGATTATAAAGAAAATACAAAATATTTATAATATATATTATTATAAATTGACGTATTTAAAAATTAATCAATTTTATAACTTCACAATAATATATACTACATTCTTTTTAATTTAAGTGTCAGTGTATAGTATTTGCCATATTTTTCAACTTTATCCTCACTTATTTAAGAATCGAAAATATTTATTGTTATAAGGCATGAGTAATAAAGATAGAGAAGTACTTTTTATAGTATTATTTATGTGATTTATCATTATTACTCTGTGCATTGCATTGTTATGTACTAATTGGGAAAGAAAGCAATTATAAATTGAACTTACCATGGAATATGGTAAGTAATCAATAAAAAAAGTTACCATTCTCTTTAGTTAAAGCTAAATTTACCATGGAATATAGTTGGAACTTCGAAGCAGTTAACATCTGTTTTCAGCTTCAGCTTTAGTCATAAATTCCTTGATTTGCAGTGAAGCAACTCTCTCTTTTCCCCCTTTTTTTCTATTTAAAGTTGCAACAGTCCTAAGCAACCTTTGATTCTCAATTTCTCATCAGCATTTGTAGGCTTTATATAACTATCCACAAACAAAAGATATCAATGCAATAGTTCAATGCAGATCAACTTAAAAAAATAGCTGATCAGGTCATATAAGTTCAAAATTTTCCATTTCATTGTAAGAATTTCTGTTAGTCCGATTACACAAATTTTAACCAGTTTATTAATCTATTATTGGATCCCATTCTTTTTGTTCAGATTTATTCATTTTTTTCTTTCTTATTCTGTTCATGATGTTTGCAGGGGAAAAAAAGAATTGATGACTCTGGTAAACAAAATGGAAACAGTCCCGCCGGTTTGTAGCCCTTTTGTGAAGACAAAAATGAAATGTAGCCATGTTTTTAAAAAAGATGAAATCTAGTCATTTTAGGGGTTAAAAGTACTAGTCTACCCTTACTAATGTTTACCTACCAAAAATAATAAAAAAAAAAGATAAAAAAAGCAAAAAGAGTGAGCATATGTCTCGTATTAATTGTTGGTGGTCTTCCTCCTCCTCCATTGTTGCTTCCTCCTCCATTGTTGCCCAGCGGTTCAAAAAAAAAAAAAAATTACTCATCTTCCCAAATTTCACTTAAGTGAATCATCTCAGTCAACAATCATCTTCAAGACCACTAAGTGAATCCCCTTTTGAGAAGAAAAAAAGGTACATTGACCTAAACCTAATTTTGTTTTTTTTATTATGTTAAATAATTTTTTTTCAAACATTTATTATTTTGGTTCCCAACATTATTGATTTGTCTTGCACTTGCACCATTTTATTGTGTTGAAGTAATATTTTTTTAGATTTAAAAAATTCGTGTTTTTGTGCTTGAAAAAGAGGGGTTGTGTTTTGGAGTTCATTACTTTTATTGTACAGTTTCTTGAGGCGTTTTTTGAAGTTTTAGGAGTTGAAGTAATCGTTTGTTGAAGAATATACAATTTATTGAACAAAAAAAAGTTTCTTCAACAAGAAAGGACAAGTAACAATTTCTTCTTGTTCAACACGCAGTTTCTTGAGCAAGAAACCTGTTTGAACCTGTTTGATGCTCAAGAAACACGTTTCTTGACTTCTTTCTCAAGAAATGGGTTTCTTGAACAAGAAACAGGTTTCTTGAAAAGAAACAGGTTTCTTGATCAAGAAACCTGTTTCTTGAGCAGAAACAGGTTTCTTGATTAAGAAACTTGTTTCTGCTTCAAGAAACCCATTTTTTGAGAAGAAACAGGTTTCTTGAGGTTTATTGAAGAATAAATTTCTTCTTGTTCAAGAAATTGTGTCTTGTATTCATATATGTTTGTCCAAACACATTTGAAGGTAAAAAAAAGGTTGAAGAAAGTATTTGTACTAAGATTGTGTTTTTTATTTATTTTTTTTTTCAGATGGATGTTGGTAAAGTGCGAATTGCTCACAGTGGCTTTTGGGATGGGAATGACTACAAAAATGGTGAGACAGAGATGAATTTTTTCTGTCTTAGGACCTCATCATATGAAGCTTTCATAAACAGAGTTCATGACATTGTTCGTGGAGATAGAAACATGTGCGACTACCGATTTCACTTTTTAGTGGCCGCTGATAACGGAGAGGTGGAGAAATGGCGTATCTCTTGTGAAGCAGATCTGCGAAATGTGTCTGCCATGTTCACAATACCTACTATCTATGTTACACTACAACCGAAAGATAGTCCAGGTCTGTATAATCAGGCGAGTGTACCAGCGTACCCTTTGTATGGCTATACCGGGGGACAAGGTGGGTTTATGAATTTAGTTGCTGCTCAGGGCCCACCTCTCTATCCATATGGTGCTGTGTATCCACCTATAATGAACTTACACAGTCAACCATCAACATCTCATCCGGCGAACAATTACAACCCGGTGCCCGACACCACCAGAAGGATGGAATCAAATCAACCCGGTGCCTCACGTCAATCTCCCGAACATGTCGATTGGGGTGTGGATAGCGGGTTCAATGGGGATTCAACTGAGGATGATGAAGGTGATGATGACGAGCAATATTGTGATGCTTACAATAATGATATGAACATCAACGATAATCCTTGCAATGACGATTTCCCCAATGAGATGGATGATAGCAATGACGATTCGGATTTCGTTATTGAAGAAGATGATATGCTTGTCTCGGAAGAAGGTGATGATGGCGACGACAATGTTGTGTCCCCCTCAAACATGATGGGTGGTTTAAATGAGCATATTCTACGCAACAAGAAGAGTATAGCGATCCACAATGTTCCTCGACTTGACCTTTCTGGAGGTGTTGCTATTGAAGAAGACGATTTGATTGAAACGGGTACTCGTTCGAGTAGCGGTTGGAGGATTCCCGAAGCCATTTTTCACAATGNAAATTTCCCTATCTAACATCTGCTCTAAAAAACAAAGTCTAATATACCAAAGCTTCAGCACCTAAAAAAGTTCTTAAAAAGAAAATCTTTTCGCATTCTAAAATCGTTGTAACCTTTCATTCTTGCGTTCCTTTAACCTCTTCTGATTAGCCTCTAATTTATCTTCTGAACTTGACATCGATTTCTTGTTCAGGAGCTTGTTTTTTCCAATACTCCGTGCACTCATGATTTGGATCGAGTGCCTCGATTGCCTGAGTACATTATAATCTAAAAATTAGCATTCGTATAAAGGATCAAATTATCATTGAAAATAATGCATGTCCCAAGTTGAAATTATGTTTCTAGATGCTCGGTGTTTTAAGGGTGTACCTGAATAATGGACAGAGAACGAAAACCAAACATTTTGAGCTAGTTGATGCTAGTCGAGGGCTGTAGAGTTGGTAATCCTTTCTTGCCCAAATGTATTTGCTTCGTTATTGCTTAACTCTCAGCAGAACCATTTCTTGATATCGCCTTGCACAAATTGATCTCCAATTCCAACTTGGATAGTGCATAGAATACTCAAAGACAGAAGTAGCTCCATCAAATGGTAGCATCATCAAAACTTCTTTCTGACATACAACAATAGGAAACCGACTCAGAGAACAACAATAGGGGCCCACTTTCGAATTAGATCCTAAAGTTGAAAAAAGATCAACAAGTTACTCGAACGGGCCTTCAAGTGAATGTAATGAACCTCAATGACATGATACAAGAGGTCTTCACAGAAAAGCCTTCGAGTAAAACAAATACAACTTAAGCCTAAAGCAATGGTAAAATAATTTCTGGATAGGACTTCAACAAGAATTAATTTATGTTCACTTGAAAAAACATCAGAAGGACCAGCGAGATAAATGTATGATGAAATAGGAAGGATTTACAAATGAGATTTCCATCCACCAAGTAGACATCGAGTATATGCATGATTGCTAAATGTGATTGGGTGTGTTCTGCATTGTGCACAGGATGCTTGCTATTATTACCTATAGAAATCTAATAAATAGCCATTCCCCTTTTTTTAAACAAAAGACAAATAAAAAAGGAAACATACAACAATTGACATAAAACAGAGACAAGAGTATGCACACAAATGCTCAAATAAGAGGGTGATTGTTGAGCCCTTCATCCTGTAGGCATGTGTTTGTAAAGTGAATAGCATAAAAATCATTTGAGAATAGAGCAAAAGGGGATCTTGGCAATCTAATTGAAAAAAAGGCAAACAAACAAACAGACAGAATAACTCACTAACAACAAATTCTAACATAAATGACAGAGGTAAAATCACATGAACAAATTAAGTACCTTGGTTGAATTAGATATGAAGGGAGCTTAATAAAAGAATAAAAAATTTGGGCTTTTTCTTGTTTATCATAACATTCAACACATGGAGAAAGTTAATATATGAAAAAAGATTGAAAATTTTATACAAACCTTTATTCATAAAACAGGATCAATCCATGGACAAGCACCAGTGCACATGACTTTCATGGTATTTTGTTTGAGTTTTATCTCATGAAAAATCTTCCATTTTTGGATACTGTTAGGTTGAAAAAAGTGAACCCATGAACAAGCACCACTACACTCTCGAAATTGATTAAGGATTAGGGGGGAAAATGGTTTTATTTTTTATTTTTTATTAAAACCATGAACAACCCATGAACAAGAGCCACTCTCTTGAAAAAGCTTCATTTTTTCAGGTTTTGTTGTGTGAACCAAAGGGGAAAAAAGGAGAGAGAGGTCGATTCTAGTACCTCCCAAGGATTTCTGATTTCGAAACCCTAATTTAGCGAAGGAGGACGGTTCGAGGAGAGAAGCGAGGGAGCTGGCGGCGGAAGTCGATTCAGCGAAGTGGAGCAGCGGGTTGCCGGCCGGGTCGATTCGCCAGAGAGAAAAGGAGTTGACACATGCTTCTCAGAAGATGAGCGAACGGATGCTTGCGATTCATGACAAGGAACAGAACATGAGCCGCCTCTTTCTCTCTCGATTCATGAAGAACGATCGGGTGCTTGTCGGAAGATGAAGGGAAGAAGACGACGATTCGCAAACCCTCTTCTCTCTCAATTTTTGTTGAAGACAGGGATGAAGAATTAGGGGGAAGGCGTCTGCAGATGAAAAGTGGAAAAATTAAACTGAAAAGGGGAAAAAATGGAAAGGGAAAAAATGAAAAAGGTGTCCAAGGGCAATGATGTACTTTTGCCTACCAAAATGGCTAGATTTCATTTTTCTTAGAAATATGGCTATATTTCATTTTCGCTTTCACTAAAATGCTATAAAGGGCCATTACCACATATACATATGCCTATTTAGAGCATCTTTAACAATTCATCCACATAAATCTCTTGTTACACTTTTCAACATGCCACATTATCTAAAACTCCATTCTTATCCCTACACTCATAAACCTCCAATAACAATAAACTCCAGAAACTTCTTTTTTATAGGTTCCACATTTTTCCACTTACTTTTTTAATTAAGATTATACTCTTATATTTCTATTAATATTTTAAAAATATAACTCCACCTTTTATTTTTGTTCAATCTATATGTTTAATATATTTATCATAAATACATATCAAAAATAATATAATTATATTGCTATTTATAATTATAGAGTGTTATTTACATACCGATATAAAATTTTACTTAAAACAATTGTGAAACATAGAACTTACATGATGCTGAAAATTAAATTTGAGTACATGGTTTTCTAAATTAAATTTTTTTTCAATTAATTGATTAAAAAAAATAAAACTCAAAGAAAATACTCAGTTGGGCAGGACCACTTAAATTGATTAAAAAAAAAAATTAAAAGCTTGGTAGAGGTGGCCATGTGCAGTGACAGATCTAGAAATTTCATTAAAGGGGAAGCTGATTTTAAATGTTAAATAACGAATTGTAATTTAAATCGAAACGCTCATTTTATATAAAAATATATTTACTATAAAATAATAGTAACTATTATGTTTTAATTGTGTTACTTGTAAGAAACAATGTGAAATGAGATCAATAATATGTTTTTATAAAAATATTGTGTTAATTTTTTACTTCTAATAAGATAAATTAATAAATTCCATAATACTGCCACATCATCATTTTGCACCATATTTAGTTAAAATGTCATAATCAAGTTTAAATTATACCATAAGTTATAATTTCTCCAATCATATTTTATGCAAAAACTACTATGCATTCTTTACTTAACATTTCTTTACTCTTTGTTTAATTTTTTATTTTAATATTGCTTTGTGATATTTTTATTATTTGTATGATTGTAGTCAGGGACGGATCCAGAAATTAAGAGTAGACTGGTTTAGAATTTAAAAAATTTATTTTCACAAAAATCACATAATATTTTTTTTTCAAATATTCACTGAAATTGTGTTCGACGAGTTTCTACAAAAAAAAAAGAAAAAAAAAATCATTATACTTATTTTGCAGCGTATTTGATGTGCTTTAACTAGTTTGACGTCGGTCCCGTTTTCTAAAGAATAATGATATCAATGGAGTTTTTCCTTTCTTGGCCGAAGGTTGGTGTTCCATTTGAATTTCTAAAAATTCCACAATACAAATAAATAAATTTTTCTTATGACATAGTTATTAGCAAAATGAAATGCTACACATCATAAATTTATATCCAACTATGATATACAACAAGCACACTAGAGGATAAGAGATTAAATACACACACTAGCAATAACTATTAAAACCCTAAATAACTCAACTAAAATGAGAAGATAGACAAAGACAATTAGACAAATAAAATAAATATGTAATAGGGGGTTTAATAATATAACAGTAAAAGAAGAAATTCAAACGTCTTCATGAAAGTAGCTCTTCCTGTTGAATAGTTTTTTTTCCTTCTAAATTCAGTGTTATGGTGTTCAGAGGAGGGACATGGTCGTGCTTAATTTATTTGATTGGAGTTTTGTGTATAGTGGTTTTTTTGTGGGTAAGTGCATGGTAGAATGGTGGATCAACAATATATAATATTTTATTAAAGTGGTGTTAGTAGTCTTTGGACTTAATAGATAAGTAAATAATTTTGGTGGGTTAATAAGTTGATTTATTGGGATGGGCTAGAAATACAATATTTTTTTTTTCAAATGAATANCATATATAGATCAGTCCATGATTGTAGTCATTTTCATTTTTATTTTTTTTACTTATGCATATTATTATATATTTCAAAAATCCTCATATTGGCAAATAAATTTTATTAGCTATTGCAGTACTAAGTTACCACTTAGCAGATGAGAGAAAATTCAATAATGTATATCAGTTGATTTTAACATATAATCCGAGCCAAGTCATTAAATCGACAAAAATTATATTAGATTTGACAAATATGCAAAATCTATCTATACCAAAAATACAATATTCACAACATCACTCTAACAAATTAATGATAATACATTATGTGTGAAAAAATATGTATGAATGGCAGCATGGAATTCAAATTTCAGGATATTTTAGAAGGTAAAATATCCGGGAATGGGAAGTTGGAGCAACTGAGAACAATGCAGAGCAATTTATTTGCAACTGTATGCAAAAAGGGAACAACAACGTGCCAAAAACAAATGGTGGTCTTCTTCGGTTCTTGGAATGGGCCAATCTACAATATGTGACGAGTGCGTCGTTTATTATAACGGCTTATTCCGATTTTCTTAACATCACAAAGTCCACAATCCAGTGCAACAATGGAATTGTGCAGCCTCAGGAGTTAATAGCTTTTGCTAAATCTCAGGTACCAAATTCGTTTTGAAGATCTCAAGCACGAATCGATACTAGGACCAAAAGAGAAAATTGCAATTTTAGTCTTCTATAACTTTTTCGTCCCTTGGAATTATTTTTTTTATTTTTATTTCCATTTGTTATGTTTGCAAAAAAAGGTTATAAAAAGGTCCCGGGCATACATAAGGGACGAAATCGCAACCTTTTTTACAAGACATAAGAGGCATTTTTTGTTGCGCAAAGGACATTTTTGTAACTTTTTTCAAACATAAGGAACAAAAAAAAAATAATTCAAAGAGGACAAAAAAGTTAAGGGATAGTGAAATATACATGATTAAAATTGCAATTTACTCAGACGAAAGTATGAGGTTAATTCAATTCGATAATAATGTTATTTCAATTCTCAGGTGGACTACATATTGGGCTCCAATCCGAAGCAAATGAGCTACATGGTCGGGTTTGGGCCCAACTACCCGAAACAGGTCCATCACAGAGAAGCATCCATAGTGTCCATCAAGCAAGACCCAAATCCAGTAGGCTGCCAAGATGGATTTAACGAGTGGTTCAACAAAAAATCAGAAAACCCGAATGTGGTAGTCGGGTCAATAGTTGGTGGGCCCAATCAAGGGGATGAGTATAGGGATGAGAGGGATAATTATCAGCAAGCAGAGCCTGCAACTGCGAATAATGCTCCTCTGGTTGGTGTTTTGGCAAGGCTTGCTAATTGATATGGTCTTACTTCGGTTAGAGTCGCAATTCAGTGCATATATTAAGAGCTTTCTTTCATAAATTAAAGACTACAATAAAAGTTGGTTCATGTTAATTAGAGTTTATTGTCGACTAGTTTGTGGGAATATTGTTCAATATGGATAATTAGTTATGAATGTTTATTTGAGCATATATATGTCAATTACAGTATAATATATTTAATGAGAACTTGTATTGTTTTTTAATTCAAAAATAAAAATTTGAACCCACTTACTGCGAAATCAGATTAAATGTAATTTGTTGTTGTCAAAAAAAATAAAATAAAAAATAAAAAATAAAAATTGTGGACATCAATACCATGGGTCAAATTAAAAAACAATCAACTTTAAGAAAATTTACCTTGCCATGATACCACAAACAGGTGGCGATATAAAATGCACCGCGGCCTCTTTAATGGTTGTCTTACCTTAATTTTCATGGACTGGACCATTCCATCAAGACCAGACCAAATGAGCATTGGACCTATAAAACCAAGCACAAGTGGCCCAAGAAGCAGCATTGGCAAAATCTGCCAATCTCCCCAGGCAGATAACTCCTTATGTCGATCTCATCCTGAATCTTCTCTCCGAAGATTGACGATTTCTCTCGTGTAATCACGAAACGAGAAAGTTGATATAGCGACCTTCCAAGCTGTCCCATCCAAAAAGTCGAATTTTGCATAGATACACGCGGCACCACCATACGTCCCTAGCTGACACGATACATTTATTGTACTTTTACATTTTTGTGTATAAATACGACCACCTGCGCTCCTAAAAAAACACAAGCGATGCATAGCAAAACACACGATTAAACACAAAATACTCACAAAAGCCAAATTCGGCAAACCAAACATGGCATGTATACCTCTCATATAATAATTACATTTTAAGAGAACTCACTTTCCTTGTCGATCTCCTAGTAAGTCGGCAAAATATGTGTCCTTTTTGTTTTTTCGCACATTTCTTTCCGTTTTTCCTATATCTAGTGTTGGTCCTTTCATGTCCTTATTATCATTTCATTACCATGACAAACATCACCCATTATTCGGTAACTCTCGATTTAACCTCCTCTTTAATACAAATCTGTAACTGTTGGCCGTCGACAATCAACAAAATGGCGCTAGAAGGCGACAATCAAGGGTTAACTCTAGACTTACCCCTATAAAAGACCATTTTTGGTTAAGGTTTTATATATCTAAATAAGATATGAATAATAAAAAAAAGTAAAAATATTTGTAAAATTATATTTTAATTTAAATTTATGAAAAAAATATTTTTATATACACTTTAATCATGATTCGTATATACTTTAAATATTTATTTCTTATTGTTAGTTGTTAGTTTTATTTTTTAAAGAATTAAATCTTAATTTGGGAATGAGTAAACTTGTGTATAAATTACGAAATGGTTAATCCTGTGAAATGGCATGGTCATTCCTTTCCGGCGTCGTTTACTTTACGGGACAGGACAGGATAAGCAAAATAGTCTTGAAATATCTTACGTTTACTTTATGGGAATGGGATTGGATTTGCCTGACGTGGCGCATATGTGGAAGGCGGCTCCACTGGTTCATCCATCATTTGCCGATAAATTCATCCCGCTCTCCTCCCCGGATATAATAATCTCGCGCTTAGGATACCTATATTGCCCTCAAATTTCGCAGTTAAATGTCCAAAATGTCCCTTAATTTGCATTAATTTACAACTGGCATAGCAATAAAATCTTCACATGTCATTGCCCTAATTTCTGCAGAGACGGGGGCGCCATTGTTTTGAGCTCCACATTTGCCATTTTTTCCTTCATTTCAAATTATGTCGATTTCGTGTTAGATTCGTTTATTAATTCGTTTTCTCTGTCGATTTCTCCATCTATTTCTTCTCCATTTCAATTTCAATTCGTTTTTTTTTAAGTTATCGCAATTTGGGTTCCTCCGGAACAAAACGCCATCTCCGTCGGGCATAACTGTGAGCTCTTCCAGGTACTGGTGTAGGAAAACACCTTGACATTCCAGCCTGTTATGGTTTCATTATTTTGGTGCTCATTAAAGGTTACATTTTGTTCAAATTCGGCATATTTTAGTTTTCTCTTCCTCTTCAAATTACTGTTGCCATCGGAATGCCGTCCTCTCCCACGTCAACCACGCCTGCCGTCGACGTCGCCGACCACTCCAAATTACGCTGCTGTGAGTTCTGAGATGAGGGCAAAAATTAGGGCTCGTATTCTATTTTTGAGAACAATGCAATTGTGAATCGAGCATCCAGTCTGAAAATATGAGTAATTGTACCAAGGATAATTCTGTCAAATTGAGCTCCATCATCTAATTTAGTTTGTTATCAGAAAATTGTATCTGTTAAAGTAAACATAGGACAATTGCTGGACAATTGCTGACGTGTAAAGTGAGTTGGATTAAATTGTCCAATCCCATACTTCAAAGTAAATGTCGCCTCCCTATATTATACTAATGAGGAGATGATGAGTAAATGAATGAACATTTTATTTTCATGTAATTTCATCATCATAGGCGTTAAAATTCTCTCAAAAACATGCCGATAAATAAGTTCTTGCCACGATCCATGCAAGATGCAACGTGCCATGAACATTCCCTAGAAATAGAATAAAACAGAGGATTCAGTGGAAGATCTTAAAAATAAATTTCTCTTCCACTCGGGCCATTGACTAAAAGCATAAGAAAAAAATATCATATCCTTCTTCTGGTGAGGTCTTTTTCATTAAGATAGCACAATAATTCACCCACCGCCTTAATACATGCCATTCTGGTTCATGGTAGGCACGTTGAAAAACACGCATCTCTCAACAGAAGCTTAAAGACGGCGTTTTCAGACTGCAAACACCCATTAAATAAACAGAAAATCCCTTTAGTCCCAAGTTATCCACACCACTATATATAAGAATTAATAACAATTCCAATAGACACAACAAGCATATAAGTTGAGAGGGGCTCTTGTATAAAAAAACATCTTATAAGCCAATACTAGAAATGGCAGGCTGGTGCTCAAGTGAAGCCGCAACACGAGTTCGTGTGCGCGTGCGTTCTCGTGTTCGAGTCCGTTCACCTTCTCAGAGTCAGAAGTACTCGAAAACACCAAGCTTCACCAAAGCAAAAGAAAAGTCAAAGCTTCCACACGAAAAAAATGAATTCGGCTTCAATAGTTACTTGCCCGAGTCCGAAAATGGGAATCGAGTGATGGTTGTGGTTGATTCGAGTCCAGAAGCCACAGGGGCTCTTGAGTGGGCACTCTCTCACACTGTTCAAAGCCAGGACACTATCATTCTTTTGCATGTTGCCAAAAAAGGTATTCGATTTGAAATACTACAATTTTTACTACTTTCTATTTAGCTAAACAATTGTCTGAACACAAAATGTCACATCGTGTTTTAGATGAAAAGACTGGCGACGAAATCAGTAAACGAGCATACAATATTTTACGCCCCATAAAAAATGCGTGCCAACTGAAAAGGCCTGAGGTGAGTGCAACACAGCTTTGAATTGAAGTTTCTTATGTATTGCCAATAAGCTGTTTTTGTATGTGTTCTGAACAGGATGCAATTTGCAAAATCAAGAATAAATTTCAAAGCGATATTTTATGCTGTTAACCAATTATTTAATACGGTGAGGCAGGTGCAAGTCGAGATGGTCGTCCGAGAAGGAAAGGAAAAGGGAGCAGTTATTGTTGAGACAGCAAAAAGACTTAAGGCATCACTGCTTGTCCTAGGACACAAAAAAAGATCATTTTTTAGGCGCTTTCAGATGATTTGGGGTAGCAAGAAAAGAACCCATAATAGGGTTGTGGACTACTGCATCCAAAATGCTAATTGCATGACAATAGCCGTGCGAAGGAAAAACAAGAAACACGGAGGATATTTGATCACCACAAAACGTCACAAGAACTTTTGGCTCCTGGCCTAGGAATATTATCAGTAAATTATAATAAAACGAAAAAGAAAGAGCTTGTACTAGAATCTGCTGATCACAGAGAATGGAATTCCAATTATAATAGTGCCATCAGTTTAAAAAATGCTGCACTTTTGTCGCACAAAAATCTTGAATGAACAATTCATTTGTGTAAACTATATAAAAAATAAATGAAAATAAAAATCTTAATCTTACTTTTACCTTGTCTCAAGCATTTTTGGTACACATCCAGTTGAGCCAAGTACCTGCAAAAGGCAAGTAAATCAATGTCAAGACAGAGCGGAAAAAATGTCTCAAGCTTTTACCTTGTCTCAAGCTTTTGGTGCAGAGTTTGTTTAATAAACCTAGTTCTAAGAACGAGAAATATAGTTACATAAGAAGGTTACCACATGTATATCAGTATATGCAGCACGCAGGTGCCATTTCCATATCTAGAGCATTTCTAGGTAAACTCCACCCTCTTACCCCAAGTGGTGAATTTCAAACTGCTAAAATTAGAATACAAAAATGCAAAAATGCTATTCTCAGAATGGCAACTCTCTGAAGTTAACTTGATGATAACTCCATCTCAGTATGAACCACATTACTGAATATTACTACTAAAGTTTCTTACTTCGATCCCCTTAAAGAAAAAGGGGAGGGAGAGAGAGAAAGAGAGAGAGAGATAGAGAGAGAGAGAGTTACAACAATCTAGAGTTCAAATCCTATTTTTCACAACATAACAATACTCATTTGGATCACTGTACATATAACATAATGCTTATTTCTTCATTTACCACCAATCATATTCATCTATGCTTGCACCTGAATAAGCAAATCTATCCAATGCATGCAAGATCTAAGCTGACGCCCATTCACGGGTAGTTCAAGAATCAAACTACACTTGGTTTGTACTTTGTCGACCCAAATTTATTACCCGTAGAAGAAACTTAACTTCCGTGACTGCCACAAATACCTGTATTCTCTCAAGCACATATCAAGCTTCATATATCTATACTACTTAACAATAATCAACCCCATACTGATTAATATCAACACTGATAGAAAAAGAATATTTGATGTATTGTTCCTGGACGTATAATGACCACCACGAGCCCAAAAAAATGCAAGAAAAAGTTCAATGTATACACACATAATAAGAAAACAAAATATTCAGGTACATTCCGTTTTTCTTTGTTAATACTATTCTATATGCAGGATACATGATTGTAGTGTCTCGTCCTAGCAAAAATCTCACCATACTTGAAATTCAACAAAAGATTAATGTCATAAAAGTTCCAGGAGCAGTAGAGTGCCAGACTCCATAAGACAAGACAAAGAAAATTCACTTAAATACAAATACATCTAACTGGGGAAAAAATCATGCAACAAAAGCCTTATACTTAATTATGCTGAGATATGTCTACCTGAAGTGGTCAGACCAAAATCAAGGGTTCCACGGTGTCATAGATACCAAGGTACATTCCACATTAAAGAGTGATTTCCAAAATTGAAACCCCAAAAATCTCGATAAAGACCAATTCCATCACTAGATGTCTTCAGCATTAAGCAAAGCAAAAAAACAAGTGACATTGTAAATAAAAGATCGTTATCTAAGAAAAAGATCATTGTCTTGCACCTTATACATGAAAATTAGAAATCCATTTCCTTTGCTGGTTTATTTAATTGATATTTTCAGATTTTTCCCCGTTCATTGTTAGTTCATTAGCCATTTCATTTTTTCCTNACTACATAAAAAAGATGGCTAGGCCAAGCTCGCTCCAAAGCGACTACCAAGAAAGGACCTTTTTCTCATTTCTTTTACCGGTGATACCGATACATACATTGGGACTCTTACTGGTGAGCCACCTAGTTTTGAAGCCTTCACGGCCTAAGAAAGAATTGAGAGAGAAAAGGAGAAAGAAAACCCCATACATTTCACTTGTTCTTTCTTTTTGTTTTTAAATTTCTGCAAATTTATCTTCTTCCTAAAGCTCGGACAATCCGAAATCATCCCCACCAAGAATTTGCCCTTCCAAGAACACACAATAAATAAAAAAAACACCATAACACAAGTCTATGCTACGTAAGAATAACGAACGCAATTTCAGGTATTCTAAGCTCAATAAGTACATTAAAAACAAATTGAAATACGAAGATAAGTGACGGGAATTGGGAAATATCAAATAACGTACCTCTCCTAAAGGACAAAATTCTCTGGAAACAATCATGAGCACCCAAATAAGGTTTCTGAAGCTGCCCTCTCTTGCTTAATTCTTTTTCTTTTTTTCATTCTGAAACTAAAGCTTCACTGTCCCAATTGGGGCTGCAGCACTTGTTGCCGCAGCGCCTGCAGCCCGAACCCATAAGTAAATCGGCCGGAAATTTACCTGAATGTCTTGCACAACGGATCCTTTATCACTGGCAGACAATAATGATAGTGGAAATACCTAATTTTAGCCAGTAGGCTGAACTTTTTACACCATTAATTAAAGTTAATTTTTGTTACCCCACTTCATCGTTTATTAATAATAATAAGTTGACTTTTTTACCTTAGTAAGTACGAAACAGATAATGTAAAGACGAAGATATTAATTAATAAAGTGAGAAATAATTATACAAAAAATTATGTTACAAAAAATTGAAAGTTAATTGATAAAATACGAAATACTTATGTGATAAACTAGTGCGATATCATTATGCAATAAGATATGCGACAAAAAGATGAAATTAATTGATAAAGTGTGAAATAATTAAGCGATAAAGCATGCGACAGACGAATGAAATTAATTGAGCAAGTGTAAATTACTTATGCAACAAGCAAGCGAGTATAATCGAAAAAGTGTGAACTCATTATCGACAACCAAGCAGAGTTAGTTCAACACGTGTAAAATAGTTATGCGATAAACTATGCGACAAGCATGCGAAGATAATCTAGCAAGTGCGATCTCATTTTGCGATTAACTAGGCCACAGACAAATAAAGGTAATCGAGCAAGTGTGATTTCATTGTGCGATAAACTATGCGACAGACATACGAAATTCATGGAGCAAGTGTGAAATAGTTATGCGACAAACATGTGAAGATAATTTAGTGCGATCTCATTATGCGATAAACTATGTGACAAATATGTGAAGTTAATTGATGAAGTGCGTAGAAATTAGAAGATAAACTATGTGACATATAGGCGACGAATATGCATAGAATTGTGTGAACATTTTTGGTCAATCAAGGGTCTGTCACATTTTAGGTGTAGATAGCTTCTTGCACCTGTTTTTACATTTTTCCAATTTCGCCTCAATTTTTGAGTAAGTCCTAGAAAAAAGTCGCCCTCTCGGGAATGTTGTACCATAACCACGTAAAGGAAGTATTCAACATCCTGAATCTCCAAAGTTTATAAGAATGGAAATCTCCAAAGCAATGAGGTGGAGGATTGTGGGTCAGACTGAGATCAACAAACCTGATGAAAAACTACAGGGACGACCATTTGTATGAACTGATCGAGCATACGTTGATCAAAGACAAAAACTATGAAATTAATGCATGAACATGCAATAGGGATGCAGAGGTAGACGATCTTAACCATGAAAAATACAAAATATATTCACCTTTTCTTTTATTATACATAGTGATAGGGATGTGGATGAAATTTTTTTAACTTTCATTAATGTTGTATTTATACTGATATGTGACGTTTCAAGTTTCATTATAATCATTTGTAGTATTAGTGTATTCATGCAGAAACAACGAATGACGAGTTTGCCATGAAATCGCAAGTCCTTATGCGACTGTTTTGCGATGGAAATGCGATACATTTATTACTGTTATGACAAAAATGATGACTGGTTAACCTCGAAAAATGCAATTCTTTATACGAATGTTTTTAAAATAGTAAATCCAAATTAGTAAATTCAAATTATGTGATTAAACTGTGAAGAATATACGCTATGACCGTATGCCAAAGTGATACCATCGCATAATCATTATATTTACCTCTTTATTAAAAATGTGTCGAAACTGTGATCCGCAAAACCATTTATTTTATTTTTTTAATTAAAATATTAGATTATAAGGTGAAACTTTATATTCATAGTTAATCGAAGATTAATTTATTTAAATCTTTTTTTGTAAATTCCTACGCTACGATACTCAGATAGCTGTTATGACGCATATTTGTCGCATAGTCATTATTTAATACAAAAAAAAAGTGGAAGTGTTTCATTATGCAACCAAAGGCGAAGATAATTGAGCTAGTGCGCCTAAATTATGCGGTAAAGTATGCAATAGATAGGCAACAAGTATGCAGAAATTTAGTAAATAATTATTTTTGTATGCGAATATACCTGCAACATTTATGCGAATATAAAGTGCATAACACAATTTATACTGATACGTAATGTTTCAAGTTTTCTCATAATCATTACTTCATCGTCATGCAGATACGACTATCCGCAAACGTGATTGCCTCAGAAAATGTGAGTCATTATTTGACTTCTTTTGCGTCACAATAAATCGCAGAGTAATAATAATTTTCAAATGGTAAATTTAAATTATGCGAGTGAATTGCGTAAGAGATACGTCGGAACTATGATCCTAAAAAATAATTATTTTTATTTTTTTATTAAAATATGCAATTATTAGGCGAAGCATCAAAGCATAATTAATCTCATATTAATTAATTTAAAATTTTAATTTTGGTAAATTCGTACTTTGCGATTGTTACTGGATAGGTGTTCTGCATAATTATTATTTAATAAAAATATAGTGGAAGCGTTCTACTTTCAGACGCCAGCAGTTTCCTACGACATTTACTATTGTTGCACAGATATCCCTAGAGAACAAATTCAAAAAAGAAAGAAGGGCAGAAAATTTGCTTTCAATCTTGCGACATTACTTCGCATAACTAGAACTTTATAAACTATTAAAAAGATGAATGACATGCAAGATTTTGAATTTGCTGAAGACATTAGGATTGAAGCGTTGAAAAGAAAAATTTTGTTTTAAAAAAAAGTATATGGAATTATTGAAATGCCTTAAAAATCAACCTAATTTTAGTTAATATCACTTTTATATCCTGTTCATAGGTGAATTTGACAAACTCGTATAGTTCAGGTGGTAGATTGTAAAAAAAAAAATAATTATATGGGGTTGCACGAAAAATTTGTTAAGAGTTATGTTGTAGCAAATTATTTTTATTTTTACCGAATACCGAATTAAAAGATTCGTTCCCCCGGTCGATCTCTCGAGGAGGATGGTTCGGAATTTAGCGTTGGTCTTGATCACACACGAAAAGAAAATAAGTCTTAAACACTCTAATTCAATAGTTTTGGGTTTCAATTATCGACTAATGACTTTAAACTAAATAAATGCAATTTAAATGGCAAACGAATTCACTCAATGACTTAAGAGCTAGGGAATCATGGATAATTGCTTTCGGTTCTATCACAATTACCGACAATCAATTGTTCGGTTAGAGGACTTGAATCGTTTCTCGTTCAGAGGTTTACTCTCAATAACTCTTCGTAACAAGAGAGTGAATGTAAACGATCAACTATCAATTCCAATAACACATAGACAATACGTTTCCTAACAAATCTATTCTAAACGAGCCTAATTCGACCAACGTCTCCCCTCTCGGTTCTACACGTTGATTATCTAGGTTAGAATGGTGATCAATCAACTAACCCTATAATTCACACAACTCGCATAGACATGAACAATCAAAAGCATTCAATCATTAACGAACCTAATCAATCATCTCCTATCCCTAGCGAATGGATTTAGCTACTCATATGGAATTCAACATCAAAATTCATATAAACCCAAGCCATTATCATCAACAAAACATTTGAGAAAAAAGAACTTACGATTAATAATAAGAATCTCAATGTCAAATCCAATGAACAATCCAAATCCAAAGCTAGAAAAAGGAATTTTTCAATCTCTAAATCCAATCAAAAGAGAAAAAGCATGAAAAGGAATGAGTTTCTAGAGAGAAAAAACATAAAAATAAAGTCTGTAAGTGAATTATCTAGGACCGAAATCTGATGTTAAAAACCCGCTCCTCGAAATTCGCACTGATAAGTCGCGAGTCGCACGTCGTCAAAATCTTCAATTTCTGGGGTTTGGTTGCGACATAACTCACGAGTCGCGACTGCCTGTCGCGAATCGCGACTCGTGCTCGCGTACTGCACCTTAAGGCTCTGTTTTTCTCGCGAGTCGCGACTTTCGTCTCACGATTCGGGACTTTGATCTCGCGAGTCGCGACTTTGGACTGCACTGCGCAATTTTACGTTTCGGGCTCGTTTGGGTTCGTCCGAACTCGGAATTGAGTTCCATTTTTTGTTATGCGTCGCCAACGAACCCCTCTATTAAACTATGTGCTCGAAACAAACTTTTGTTGAAGAGAAAATTCGCCTGAAGCTCCCGACCTACACACCAAAACGACAAAACACAAAGAAAACCGGAAAAACAAACGAAAAAACAACGAAAGACTCAAAATAAAAAAAAACACATAATAAAATACGAAACGGACTAAAAACTAAAGAAACGACCTAAAACGGGGGAAAAATAAAGATAAAATAAACACGAAAAACACAACAAAAATGGGACAAACAAGTTAGGATGACAAAAAGCTTTCTTTTCCCTAATAATAATAACTAGTACAATACCCGTGTATTACACGGGTGTTGAATTAGAAAGCTTTTGTAAAAAATATTAAATTTTTTATTTTCTTTTTAAAAACTAATATAATTTATTTTATATAAAACATTACTTTGGGTTTTAATTAAATTGTCAAATTATATTTTTTTAATCATAATAATTAAACACTCGTACATTAAATGAAAATGTCAACCTGTGTTGGACTTTTTTACTTATTTAATATAAAAATGTCGATATTATTTACTATTACATAAGTACAAAAATATATATCTTAAATAAATATAAATAATATGGTGATATGTATATTCATAAGTGTAGAATATGTTTATTTAATATTAAACAAAATAGATTAATTTTTTTTACTTACTTAGATGAATAATACATAAAGTGTCGTATCAGTCGTACTTCACAGTTTTTTAACTTTATAAGTAATTTTTGAATTTCTATAAATAATTATTTATTTTTATTACATTGACAACAACCAATTAGATTTGAAATAAATATCATTTTTAAAAGAATACATACCAATTTCTATTACTTTATAATATAATTTATAGTTTTATTTGATATAGTTTAATTTAGTTTGATAAATCAATTTAAACTTTATTTATAAGGATATATATATATATATATATTACTGTTTTGTATTATATATATATATATATATAAATAAATAGGAAAATATAAACGGACTTCATAATATCAATTCAAATGCAACACACTAATTAAGATTTTTTTTTCTTGATAATATTAACCCTATTTAATGGATGTTATGGGAAACGATGAAGATGGGATATGAAGAGACACTGTGTATTAGATGAAGGGTTGAAAATGGAAAAATATGAACAAAATATCTAAAACGACATTTATTTTATCAATGATCAATTAAGCCAAAGTGACAAATAATAAAAATCGGAGGGAGTATATATTATTATATATTTTAGTATGACACATGTTAATTGTGCGATTTATATCTGTTATATTATAATAAATTTTCTACCTTATAACATATAACTACATTAAATATAAATATATTAATTGATAATAATTTTATTTTCTAATTAATGTTAATAAATATTTTTTCTATTATTATAAAGATAAATATAATTTATTTATTTTATATATACAATATGGATGTCAAATCGAAGCTTATCAAAAGATGATTAATTTGATATATTATATATGTAAAACCGATAAGAAATACAAAAGTTAATCAACTTTTAAAATATATTTTCAATTCAACGGTTATAATAGGAAACGATATTAAAATACAATTAATATAAATATTAATTTACATCCAAGCCTAACTCTAAAGCATGATTTTCTAAAATAGGATTCCGAAGTACGAGAGTTTGACACGTAGGTTCAGCGCATTCTGAAATTAGCCTAACTCCAAAGTATGATTTTTTTGCCAAAATAAGATTCCGAAGTACGGAATTTGACAAGTAGGATTAGCGCATTCTGAAATTATGTATAAAAGGGAGAGACGGGATAATGATAATAAGAAACATAAGTCTTTGTTGTTCAGCAAAGATTCAGTTGGGAACGTTACCAAGAGCTCGCATTCATCTGTAGTTCCATGGCTGCCAATTTCTGGACTTCCTCTCACTAGTAAGTTTCAATTTTGGGGCCAATTTCCGTGTCTGTTACTCTAGTTTTTCGCCTTTGTTTCTTTTACCCTTTTTATTTCTTCGTGATTTTCTTTTTACTCCTTTTCTGCCATGATTTACTGTGGAGTGTAGACATATTTGAATCAATTGGGCCAATCTTTTTTTTTTTTGTTTTTGTTTTTTTTGAT